CTGAACACCTTCCATGTGTCCACAGGACAAACTCCCAAGATCAAGACAAAGATGGACTGCAGGAACAGGTGAAGGAGGAGGTTGCTGGGGTGGCAGACCAGGAGGTCTTGCAGAGCAGATGTGACGTTTTTGACAATTTTGTCCATGTCAGAGCCCGGCAAAGTCTGGCAGGTTATTGCTTTTGGGGGAAAGGTCTAGGTCAGTGATACGGCTGCTGCTTCTGAGGGATGGAGAGGGGAGACCTGTTTCTAACAGCTGCCTTCTCCATCCCTCCCAGCCCTCTGGTGGCAGCAAAGGAATCCAACCTCAATTCTTCACGACTCTTTCCTCAGGTCATTGATCCAGTTCTCTCCTCCTCCTGATCCTCAGACAACTATTATCATGGCAGAAACAGCTTGGCCCTGATTACTTTCCAGCCCCTCAATCTTTAGACAACAGATGGCTTTGGAAGTACTGATGTGTGAAGTATTTTCACGTGCCTTAACAACTGCCTTAATTATGCAGCATCGTCATTAGGACTGGACAGGTGATTTAGATCGGAATATCTGAACCACTTCATCATCCAGTGCTTTAAAGTGACACTCGGAACCCGGCAGCTCCAGGAACAGGGATGTTTGCTGAGATAACGTCAAGTCCCAGTTGTCAGAAACCTTACATTTTTAAAAAGCTTATATCCATGGCTGAGAAATTCCCAAAAATAACTTTCAGGTGTGAATTTCCCTGCAGTCTGGCTAAATACGATGGGCAATTAAAAAAGGTGCAGTTGGGGCACTCTGACCATTAGCATTTGAAGAACTATAAACCATAACTGACATATCTGTGGACATTTATGTGTTTGCAGGTTCAGTTACAGGTGCAATGGCGAAACAGGGAAAACATCATAGTGTGAAAGTGAGAAAATAAACCACAAGCTGCTGGAAAGACAAGGATAAATGAAATAGTAACAAAAAGTGGTAAAAGAAAATACAACAAAGCACAGAATTAGCACAGGTGAGCTCAAGAAACGTCATCCCCAGCCCAGTACTTACAGGTAATAGGAGTAGGAATACGCATTTCTTCTAAATAGCGACGGCCAGTCAGATGAACACAATGTCCAAAAGGAGAAAAAAAGGAAAATGCATAATTAGATTTATATGAACTCTAGGATTTTTTTTTTCAATGCACAAAGTATTTGTGCTGCCTCTTGTACCAAGCTACTTTTCTCCTATGCTGTTTTTTCAGGAGCTATACGTTGGTGAGGAACGGATGCTGAACTGGAGACAGGAAACACAGGTTGTGTTTCAACTTTTGCTGCTGATTCGTGTCACCACAAATAAACATCCTCATTTCCTTCTTCCTTAACTTTGCCGTGGCAGTAACACAGGCAATAAGACTTACCTTTGCCGGTAAAGTGCTTTGAGATTTTTGGAATGGAGAGAAATATGTAAGAGCTATTAATACAAATAATCATAAATAGGAAAGTGCCAATGTAAGAACACCACAATTTTTGAGTATTTAGGCAACAAAAAAATTGTGTAACGATAAATCAGGCTTTGTCAAATTCTAGAATACAAATAGTTGATTAATAATTCAAACTTCACTACATTTATAGATGATCACTGGGGGTATGCATCAGCTTTCTGCATCACTGCAATTAAGTGTTTTCTATTACAGTTTTTCTACAACAAACTCCAGAACATTTTGATGTTTTTGAGCAGTGCCACAAAACGAGTCTTGGCGATCAGTTATAACTTAAGAGTCCCATCCTTGAAGGCATTACAAATACTAGGAAGTGCTCACAAGTATAAATGCAGGATTCAAGTGTTCACTTTTACTGTTGCTGTGAATCCAACTTTCACAAGCACGCATGGAAACCAGGTTCAGCACAGCTACTCTGTGCACAATCGTCCTCTTTCCTATGGACACACGGGGTAAAGGACAGTGACTACAGGTGTAGAAGAGGATTACTCTGAAATTACATGTTTGGTATGGTGGTAGCCCTTGCTATTAACTGGAAATTCTGGCCACATTCCTGATATATCTTAAGTTATTTGAACGACATTGAGTCCAAAGTATTTATAACACAACGCTGTGATCTCCTGAAACTCAGAAATGCCACATGCAACAGCAACGCACCAGCTAAGGTGCAGTGGTTTCCACAGGGTTCACTGCGAAGTATGGAGTTTCTCTGAACCTCTAAACAAAGGGAAAGTTCACCAGGATATGGAAAATGAGAGCCCACGCGGCTGAACCCCCTACATCTCCAAAATTATTCCATTAATTAAACCCCTCCGACACGCCAGTGCCAAGTTTCACAGCACAATCAGCTGTAATTGTTCCGTTGAACATCTTGCTGTACTTTCTGCTTTTCTCATGTCTCAGCCAGCAGAAATACGCGATCGCACGAGATTCTTAGTCCTCATTAAAATGTTGCGCATCCCTCCAGGCTACAGAGGAAAACGCAGAAAGGTTTATTCCATAAGGACATGGAATAAATGAAAGAAGAAAATAAAGGAAGGCAAACAAAGGAGGATTATATTTTGGAATTGGACAGGCTATTTTGGCTCAAATTCTTCCCAAACATGCAATCTAAAATAAGGACTTCCTAAGGAATATTTCAAAACTAACCATTAAAATTGGTCAAAGTTACCAATCACTGAAAACGTGACTTGATCCTAGAACGTACCACACATCCTGAAAACCCTGTCATCCACCTTACATATGGACACAGAAGCGACATGGGTCGCTGAATGTGCAAATATCCCTGTGGTAATTCTATCCTATAGCTTGGGGTGTGTTCTGCTTAAGAGGCATTTGGGTTTTACTTAATTAGTTTAAGGTAACAACCTAAATCCTAATCCAGAATCAGGAACAGAATTTTCATAGAAGGAAATAATCCTAGACCCTGCATAGCCCCAAATCTCCTTTTTTGCTACCAACAGCAATTTAAAGAACTTATTTACAGTGCACCCATGACAGGTTGTCTGATCCTATTTACTCAGTCTTCTACTTAAAGGGGTCAGTAGAGGCTTTGTCCACTCAAATGCACAAGCCTGAAAAGTGCCACACTCTTCGCTCCAGGGAAATGCAAGTCACGATTACACCAGAGTTAAAACTGTCCAGACAAAATCAGAACGGACCTAAATCTAATCCTTTGGGGGGGGGGGGGGGGGAAGTCAAAGGGTATTTTCACCTGAAAATAAGTTCACAAATGTCTTGTTTTTCTTGTTTCAGCTTGTTTTTACTAACTGATCCTGTATTCTCTATTACACAAAAATATTTAACTAATATTAAAGACAAAGAAACAAGCTCCTTAGAGAATTGGCAATGTTTTGATACAATAAAAAATGAGGTATTTCAAGGTATGTATCTATTAATGAAAGGAAGCAGTACTGCCTTATGGTGGCAAATGAACCCGTGAGGGTGCTGATCACCAACTGTAAATTAGCAAGGCTAAATTATGGTGCAGTAACCTGTACATCCATATACATACAGAATCATATAATCATTTAGTTTGGAAGAGACCTTGAAGATCATCGAGTCCAACAATTAACTCAACACTGCCAAGTCAACCACTAAACCATGTCCCTAAGCACCACGTCTACACATCTTTTAAATACCTCCAGGGATGGAGACTCAATCACTTCCCTGGGCAGCCTGTTCCAATGATCATATTGGAGCTGCAAACATGTAACTCATGCAGCTAGGGGGTTCCCAAAACCAAGAAAAAAAAATTATTAATGGTTTTGATTTTAGATACTGTAAGACAGTCATATTTAAACCAGAAATTTCTGTATACAAACACACAATTTTTACATGGATCTACACATAAAGAAACTTTAGCAGACTTTAGGCAACCTCAGGGTTCAACCAAAGCTTTTAGATAACAAACAAAGTCAGATCCAAGTTTTTTACTGCATAAGCATTCTGGCTGGCTTAATTTAGCTTCACATATCTCACTAAACCCTATAAAACATTGGCAGCCCCCAGAAATTTGCCAGCCACTAGCCTTTTTGCAATATGGTCTATTGAAAGTACAAGCAACTGGGAACACTTGCTCAGGCCTTATGTATGAAAGGTTCAAAAAACTCCGTTGATTTCATGCGCCTCTCTGAAACAAAAAGCAGCTTCTGATGATGCATCTAATCCTAATCTCAGACCAGCACCTGCCTTCTCTTAGTGTTTCCTTCTCTTATAATTTCTCTTCTTCCTTTTCTCTTTGCACTGGTTAGCAAAATGCTTCATTCAGGAAACCCACTACTGTGCCTACAACCAATGAATTATGATGCCCTGGATCATGAACAAATGTCACTGTGATATTTTCCAGCTCCATTTGATGCAAATGCCTTAAATTTGTCTAATTACATTATTTTTCTGCATTGTTGCCTTGCAAGACCACACTGTCTTGTACACTGAGGCATTAGCCTTAGTGAACTGAAAAGGGGAATTCTTTTTCAAGTAAGGTTAATGCAAAAATCTAATGCAGGAGCTTTAGCACCTAGTATTTCTGCTTGTAAAACAGGAAGAGAACTTTGTTGTTAAAATGTTCTCTCAGACAAGAGCAAGTTTTCAGCTGTGATCCTCCAGAAGTTCAAATCAATCTGTGGTCCAAAGCGGCCTTTCCTTTTACAAAAGCTGGTCCCAATCCGCATTAGTTTACAAATGAAATGAGCCTGGCAGGCTTAAGTTCATCTGCTGGGAACACTTGTCCATATGCGGCTTCGAGCCTCAATTGGACGTGACTGGTGGTGCCCGTTCAAGGGAGACCCAGAACCGATGCAATCAGCAGGTTTGTCTGCGATGCAGGAGCTCTGCCACGCAGACCTAAGAGAGAGCAAGCCTCCAAAACCTCCTTCTGCACTGTTATAGCTTCTAAATGGGAAAAGATTTTGAAGTCGATGAGCCAGTTTATTTCTTATAATAGTGTGTATTCCAGTGGGTAACCTGGCAAATGACAGCAAACAGGCAAAGAGGGGTGGGAACGACACAGAGGAAAATGTAATTTTCCAGCTCTAGAAAGAAAAAGGGAAGAATTTCTCTCTCTAATACTCCCACTCGCCTCCTTTCTCATTTTAATTTTGAAGAAAGATGCTCAGGTTAACAAAGCCAGATACAGCAAAGTTCTGTCCATGGACATGGCACCCAAGTTCACTAAACATCACTGCTTTTGGGACCAGGCTAGTTCCACAGAGGAACATGTGCACTGAGTCAGGGGGCCAGCCCAGGGCAGCAATAGCTTGGGAATTTTTATATCAAGCACACGGATCCTCAGACTCCGGCCTCTAGGACTTGCTCTGCACTACAAGTATTTTTGATTCTGCATTTGTCTGTGTTTTGCTGTTTATAAGATATCAACTGATACTGCACCAGTCCTGGCAGTCAATACATCCTAAGAACCAAATGTTGGAAAAAGCTGCATCTTGATAGATCTCATCATTTACTTATCTGAGTTAAATATGCATCAGAAAAAAATTAAAGCTAAAATCCAAAAATTGTATAGACCTGCTAACTAAACTATATAATACAGTCTCTAGGTTTCTTCCTGATCTTTAACAGAAGTTTGTTATATTACACATAAAATATTTAGAGTCTATTTAAAAAAAAAAAAAAGGCAAAAAACATGATAACCTAAATCAGCTGTAAATTTTTACTTTCCCTTGGAAAGATTCCTACATATTGATAACCTGGCCTTTTGCTGGGTTTCCAGTTTCCATTGCAAGACAGAAGATTAAGCAAAGATGTTGAATCATTGACATGTATCTAGACGGCTCCACACCAATGCATTTATCAGAATGAGAATGATGAAGTGTTTGAAGAAAAAAAAAGTTACTTGTCTATAAATCTACCCTGAGAAATTTCCTAACTGTTTTCAAATTTATACAGAAAATAGATCGGCAGCAATGACAACACTTAACAGCAAAGGGTCCCACATTCACATTTCAAAAGATGTGACAGCCTGTTTGGGAATACAAGTTTGATGTGAAATCTGAAAATCTGAGAAAATACACAGAGATTATGAGTATTATCTCCTCCTTAGTATTTAAAGTCCTCATAAGAGGATCCTTAGCTCTCTGACTTAGTTCTTGGCACGCTACACCATAAAAAACTGTCCTCAAACAAGGAATTTCTGATCATCATGAAAAATTACTGCTAGTTTTCCACCCAGCAATATACATGATTTATAATAATAAGAAAAATAATACATTGTGGGGCAGAAATGCTACCAACATTTAATTGCTTGTGAAATACACTGGGATGTTCAGACGTGGCACTACTCTGACAGCTTTCCTTACAAGTTTTACCTTTCAAGCTGAAAATAAAAGCTTTTCTTAAAGAGCGTTTAGGAAGGCAACAGGAATGGATGAGGGCTGAGCATTAAACAAAGCAGAAACCCAGCCCAGTTCTTCCTGAAACTCTTTTACTGCTTTTCATTGGAGGCATCTATTTTTTTTACGCTTATGAACTGAAAAGCTGCTGGAAGACTGGAATAAGTGATATCTGTACTGTTCGGGTTTAACACTGAACAGAAGTGCAGTAGATGTGACTACAAAACATGTACACACTTGTCCACAAAATCTGAAACTTTTGCACACAACAAAAATTGCATTAAAAGTCTAGATTGCCCACAGCTTCAGTTAATTCAACAGGAATTCACAGTAGTCAGTACACATGTGATTGGTTTTGCAGAATAGAGATCATTTGCGAAGACTACTCAAAGGACGTCTAGTCCAACCCCCTGCTCAAAGCAGTTTCACTTGCAGCAAGTCCCTCAGGGCCTTGTCCAAGTTTTTAATTTCTCCAAGAATGGAGATTCTCAAACTGTTTTGGTAACCCTCCTCTGGACTTGCTCTAAGATACGAGTGTCTGTCTTGTACTGAGGATCCTGAAATCGGGCACAGCATGGCCAGACCAACCTCACCAATGGCAAACAGAAGGAAATAATCACTCGCCTCAACCTGCTGGCTACACGCTTGCTAACACCACCCCGGACACAGCTGACCTTCTTTGCTGCAAGGACACATTGCTGACTTGTGCTTGACTTGTCCACCAAGACCTCCAGGTCCTTTCTCTGCGAACTTGTCTGTACTGTTGCAGAGGTTACTCCGTCCCAGATGCAGGACTTTGCCTTTGCTAAACTTCTTGAGGTTCCCACCAGCTTGTTTCTCCAGCCTCTCAAGGTCCTTCTGAACAGCAGCCCTGCACCCCAGCATCTGTAGCATGCAGTTATTCCATTTGCATATGTGCTCTCGATTAAGATAGAGGAGATCATATCTAAATTTAACTGCTGCTCTTATTTTTCGGAAATGTGTGACTTTGTCATAGAGATAAGAGATCTCGAAGAAACAGCTTTGCTTGGAGAGCTGCTGATCCATCATCAAGGATCTCGCATGCAATACTACCTGTGCCCTAGACAAGGTGCTGCCAGGCTACCGAGCTCCTGCTTTATTTAGAAGCAAATTACTGTTGAAAAGTAGAGATCACTTCAGAAGTGTGACTAGTAAAAATATATACAAAATACACCCTTTTCTCAAGAAAATCTCTTGCCTAAGTGGTTTTCTGAATCAGTATGTCACACTGTAAACGTGGAGCTCTTCAAACAGCAGCAGCTACAAATAGTCTACTTCAAAGTGCAAGTGCAAATGGTCCAAAGAAAATCACACAAAATGAACTGTTTGAACAAATTTCATTACCATACATGACTTTGCCACGTTTCATTCCCCTGTAAACTAAAGCTAACTCTTGGAAAGATTCTAACCCTCAGCAAGATGTAATATTTCAGATGAACATTGGTTGCAAAGAAATGGCTGTGTGAAAATACGTCTCAAGACTCACTTGTGAACAAGACCCTTGATCACATTATTTTAAGATACTATTTTTCTTGACTGTTAAGAAAGAATTCCTGTCTTCTCCTAGACACTACGGTACTGCGTGCACAGGCTCACATGCCCACTCCCATTGCCTCGTTATCGCCTTGTGCTTCTCCATGCATCTTCATGCACTATCCCTTCTCATTAATTATCAATCAATCATCATTAACTCTTTGCAGTAACAAACATTCTTTTGTTGATCATATAGCAACCGTCAGAACACGCATCTCTTCTGGGACTACGGCTTCTTAGTGGTAGCGTCACATAAACAGGTATTAACTGCTGCCCCTGGAACACAAATGGAATGTTCTATCTCTATCAAATGTATTCTTTTCAAAGTAATGCTCTAGGCAGAAGGTCCAAGATGGAAGCAAAGCAGAAACTTACCTTCTCTTGATGGTAAGCATTGCTCCCAAGAGGATAATAACGAACATCAGAAGACCAGCTATAACTCCGGCCATCTTCACCGTGCTGTCAACTTGTTTTTCTGGTTCCACTGCATTGGAATTCTGTGTGGAAGCTCCTTAAAAGATGTAGGGAGAGGAAGGAGGAGATAGAAATAGAATTTGTAGAAAAATTATGCAATAATCCACCTTAAATATTCATTTGAAAGCCTAACAACATACGTGCAACCAAACTGCAATAGAAAATTGTCTATCTAACCAAATCTGCCTTTACTAAGGGCTTGTGACAGATAATTCAGAGCAGTAATAGGGTGTAAGATCTCAGTGTAATGCAACTGACCCCAATAGTTTACCATATTATACTGTAACGGGGAATTGACTCTTCTGATGCACTCAGCACACACCCAGAAGCAGGAGAATTAATAGCAGTTGTAACTTTCATCTCAAATAGCTTAAGTGGAGGTGCAATCCTTAGTCACTGAAATAATGAATGTAAAAGTTTGAAGTAACATATCCCATAATACTACTTGCGGAGACTTTTTTCTTCTAAAATCAGAATACATCCATATATCTCACTGTACTGGAAGCCTGGCTTTTGCTAACACACAGTTACAATTATGCATGTAACAAGCATTAATCCAACGCACAGAGCACCCTCCACATCATCTCACGTATTCCGTGCGTGAGCTCTTCTGCAGCCCAGGCAAGACAACATAATTTCTGCTGGAAAATCTTTAAGAGTAAAGCCTACGCAACTAAAAAAAAAAAAATACATATTTAGGAACATTATTTGCACAATATTTCTTCTTTTACATCCTTGCCATGATCTGACTTTAATGGTCTTTTGCTCCTGCAATAACTGAGGACCTTGCTGAATGCCACCCTCTCCCCTATTGCTGCGGTGACTTGTATAGTGCTTATTATACACCTTGGCTCTGCTAATTTCAGTGCTTGCTGCACAGAATTTTTCCAGACACAGCTTAAACCACTGAGCTTGATTTAGAAAGCCCCACAAGATTTGAGTGGTGGCTACTCTAAAGACTAAATAAGCCTATCTTTATTATATTCCTGATATACTGAACTACTCCTAAAAATATCACAATTGCATTTGAAGTTAAATGAATTCACGTTACATGAGGTCACAATCTTATCTTGGGCTTCACCTCGGCTGTTGGATGCAGCCAAATCTTCCTCTACAGTTTAAACACAGTAGGAAAAAGGAATCAAAGGTGAAAACAGAGTGCTGTCATTAGAAGACCATAACGTTTTGCTCTTTTAACAACTCTGTGGTGCTGACCTTCAGGAAAAGCTGAATCACTTCTGTTCATGAAGCCTGTTGCTTGGGGAGGTCATACTCAACTGAGTCCGTGTGTTGGTGAGACAGTAGAAAGCCTCACTGGGTTATTCTTTTGCCCATTTGCCACACATTAAGCTGCATATGCTTTAAAACATCTCTGTCTGCAAGGATGAGTCTGAGCTACCGTGATCAAATCATGTAACTGGATATAGGGTCTTCTGATATGTTCTGAATAGGGCCTTAGCTGATGGACTTCCAGGGAGAAAGACCTGATCTTGAATAAAGTGTTATCTTCTCTCATCATGTCTTTAAGAGTACGTACAGAACAGTGACGCGATAAATGCAAAACAAGAAAACTCACCACATGCAGTGATAAAAGTATGACTTCACTTTTCCTACAGCTAAGCTGTTAATCTAGTTTGCCACAGCAAAACACAATATTTACCAAGCAAAAACGCTGGCTGTTTGAAGCACACATGTAATTTTCAGCTTTTTCTCCCTGACAACTCTATTGCTCTGCTGTGTCCACCAATTTTCCCATTCAGTTAAGAGTTCACTGGTAACTTCTGCGTGCATATGTCTGAAATGCATTAATGGGACTCCCGAGCGTGAAAATAAAATAACATATCAGTTGTGTATTACCATCTATATTTGACAACATCTCTTACAATCTTGGAGCAAACCGGTCCAAGAGCTGAGCTACATGCCACAATACAGGCAATCCTGACACCATCACACAACAAATTAAATGATAAAGGTACAATTTTTGCCCTGAAAATGGCTAAAGCTCTATTAGTATGATATGAAAGTCACAAATACTCCAAATTATGCTTCACTTGAGTTGTAATTACTCCTATGATCCTAAATATCAGGTGTTGGAGAAGGATTTTCCACCACAAAAAGCACAGTCAGACCCTCTCCATTTTTGTACCATCTGAATATCCTCATGAATTGTGAGCCACGTTAAAAAAAATTAAGAACATGCTGTCAACGCCATCCTCTAAATCCACTAGATTCCTTTGATTTTGCCAGGCTGTTGCTTGTTACTACAGGCAACGTGTGGTCAGTGTATTTTTATTTGCCGTTTCTCGTCCCATTGTAGTCTACTGCAGCTCTAGAAAGAGAATAAAGGCTTATTATCCATCCTGACACCTACACACCATGGTGACCGATTCACTTGAACGTTCTATGTAACTCTTTCTATCTATCTTGGCAAAGGCCAACAATTCCTTTAGGCTACTAGCCCAACCATTTGTAAGTTGTCCAAGCTAATAGGGCCTAGGAATTGATAATATGACAGTAAGTTCCTGGGCTTTGGATTCTTAAAGCTTTGCAATGAAATGTTACTGCAGAAGTCCGTTGTTTTCCTACTGGTTTGGTGTATTTTCCTTGTAGATGCCTAAATCTACTACGGTTGCTCGTAGTCCCACCTGCACCACCACCAGCAGTAGGTAAGAACATTTCTATTCTGACAGGAGGAGGTCTGTGAGCTGTCGCTGGACTTTTCATAGAAGACGACTGCTGCTGCTCCTGACAGCAATGCTCTTTTCAGAACTCAGTTTTGCTTCTCTCCTTTATGGACATGCAGGCAGATCTGAAACTCTTTGAGCACAGAAGCCCATAAAAACTGCTCAGATGGCCATTTCATACAAATATCTTTAAATACACTCGGAAAGCTCTGCACTACTGTACTTGAGGGGCCACCCTTTTCTTTCTGAAAAACAATGTTTATACACTGCTGACATTAAAAGGGAAAGAAAATAAACTATAATCATATTTTCTAATGGTTACTTCCACCACATTTCCTGGAATAAATTGTTCCTCTTAACTGAAGCTGGGTATTGGAATAATAGGATATAGAACAGGTCAGTGCTGTTATTACTGTGTGTATTTCAGAGGCACCCAGAGCCCCCACTAAGGGCAGGACCTCATTACACTGTACTAACACAAACTAGGACAATTCTCTGCCCTAAGCTTACTTTCTTAATAAGGAAGGCAAATGACAGAAGACAGTGCCAGAGGAGGGAAGATCGTAGGTCCCTTGACTCCCTATTTGTGCATTATCTACTAGACCAGGCTACTACTTCCAGAGATACACATTTATGTATTGTACAAAATGCACTTTCCCAGAAGCTTGACCAGTGGCAGGAATCTGACTTCCACAGGCATCATCATTCAGCCAGAACCCCATTTTACATTTATAGCTATTTGAGGATTTTAGTTCTTTCCCCACCAAGCTAATTTACTTTGTTTTCTCAACCCCTTTCAAAATTCTCAAAGATCCAACATCTTGCAGTAAGACAGAACATGTTCCAAGCAGCACGTTCATGGCAGATACTATTCCAGTGATGCTGCAGAGATGCAAAGAGAACAGAGCAGGGGCAAATGGGTTATTTCCCAGAGTCGTCCGACTCATCAGCCCAGGAGAAGTCAGGTTTATGGATCATCAAGCACTGATGGTTTAATTAAGGTTTTGATTAAGGCCTAATTCAGCTATATCATTGTGGATTCATAGATACCTAAATCCCAGACCACTTCAGCAAGGTGCAGCTACTGGAAACATGGTTCCATATTATGCCAGCTCCTCACAGCTTTCAACCTTTTAAATTCCCCCTTGGTTAAGGGGGAATCATGGTTAAAGCTAGCCCTGCTTAAGGCCAAGAATTCTGAAATCTAAAATTCATTTCAATATAGTGGGCTGCCATTTGTATTCCAGACTTTATCCTTCAGAAGATTTCTTCAGCAGAAAGTGTTTCTGTCCATAAGGAAGAAGAGATGACACGTTTAGCTACTTTGAGCTGGAAGATGGTTTGCAAGCAATTCCGACAGCCTAAACTCAAGTTTTTGCCAGTCATAACTAAAGACGAGGACCCTCTCAAAACACTGTGAAAGTGAAAAATCATCCACTTACCAGCAAGCGTTCACACATACTGCTACACACTCCTAGAGCGATATTCCTATATACTGTAAATCCTCTTAATGCTCGTGCAAGGTAAGGAATACATTATGTTATTTACTTTATAGATCTGGAAAGATTAAGGATATGCTTTTGGCATCACAGGCACCAAAGAGCAGAGCTGAGGACTGACGTTTCTGGACTGACACCCCGTGGCAGTTCCATCAGACCATGCCACCTCGCACAGATGGGGATGGTGGAGACCGGAGGGGTGGGACAGAGAGAAACAGCAACAGCAGCTAAGTGAAAGATACCATGGCAATCTTTTACCCAGCAATTTATGCACATATATATTATTTGAAAACAACAAGCCACCAGACACAAAGTGACCTTCTCTGTGGAGGTGGCATCCTGAAGAACATCCAGGGAAGAATGATTATTGAGTGCACGTAGCTAAGCAGGACTGATAATACAAGTTTCTTCTATAAAACCTACTTCACAAACTGTAATTTGAAACAGTCTTTATTTAAAGCAGCAATGACAATACTGCATTAAAAAAGTGTAACTGATGGGAAAAAGAATTCAAAAAGAGCCACAGGCAGGAGGAAAAGACAGGTAGGTATGTGAGATTTCAATCTGGTGAGGCATAAAGAACAAAGTCCTGTGATGGAGGTGGCACCACAATCACCAGAAGCACAGGAAAGAGAAGCACCCGATACCACAGCAGGAGAAGAAAAGAAAGCAAATAAAATGGCTCTAAGGACAGCTGGGGCAGATACCTGGGGGCAAGAAAAAGGCAGTGCAAGTGTAAATGAGGGAGGGACAAAATGAGAGAAGCAACACAAGTCAAGTAACAGGAGGTTCAGCCACGGCCAGATGACAGGAAACACCCAGAGAGGGCACAAGTCAGTCTGGCAAAAACTAGG